ATATATTAGCATCTTTTGATGTTTCCTTTACCTTTAACATTCGATTGCCGGTTCAATTAGCAATGAACAGAGCTTGGAACTTTTCGTACAAGAACATATTTCGTGTCCAGGTGGTTTATTAACCCTTTGGTAATTTTCGCGATAAGTCCCTAAAACGATCCCTTGTCAATTGCTCACCCCATATCAAGATTTGATGAACACCCTTAATGTATTCAATCCCTCAAAAAACGAGCCCAAAATAATAAAAAATAGGAAAATCCTCTCCCACAAACAAACCGACATACTAAAAAGAATATCAGGGAATACATTATGTCCCGTCATAATTAGTTATATCGATAACGGGAGACATTCCTGAATAAAGGAAATGCCGTGTTGATAAAGCATGAATAAAAGTCGCTTGAGTAAATGTCAAATGAAAACAGTGCCAAATGAACAAATACGTATACCAAATAGATCCCAAACATATCCTAAAATTCGTGTCAACAGATCAGTTGCGTCAGAGTCCCTTGCACGAAGCAATCTGATTGAATGCATTTTGTTACAAGTATTTGCCCCTTGGACTAACTTAGTTGATATTAATGAAGTGCATGAAACTTCTGCATAAATAGCGCGAGCAATACGACGTCTTTATCTTCTTCCTAGACAAAACAGTTCCGGCATTTTCCGCCTATTTGTCTAGGACTAGGACTAGCTAAATACGGTCAGGGACAATGAGTCTTGCTAAGACTAAGAACAGGGGATTAAGGAAAAGGGTTTCACCTAAAGTGCTTATTCTAAAAATCCATCGGCCTGATCTTCATTTCTGCTCTCTTAATGGGGTGAATGTTACCCCACATCATAGTGCCATCGTCCGCTCCGTTCCGATAGATACCATTTAGGTTACTCTGTCTACAGTCACGGTACCACCAGGCTCCTTCAAATTTCGGGTATGAGGCACAGTGATAAAAAGATACGTCGTTATCCTGATCTTTTGTAGAGAATTTATGGCCATTATGACGAGCCAGAAAATTTCCAGCGGTTCCTAAACCTAGCATTACAGAAACAAAAATAAGATTAAGTATTCCTGTGTCTCAAAGATGATTTGCGCCTATTATTTACAAAACGAGAAAATAATAAAATGAGCCTTTAAAGTTGCGGCAATTAGTAACATAACGTTTTAGAAACTCTTATAATTATAAACTGTGACAAACGTTACTGCAAAGATAACATAGTGCTAATAGGCCATTTCCTAGTTGCCTCGTGCCTCTGTATCAAAACGAGTCTACGTGCGAAAGCATTCATATCAAAATGTGTTCCATCTACATGTTCATTTTCATGCAAATCAAACTCATTTTCATAAGGAAGGTTTTACAGGAAGACTCGTTTTGAAACAGAGGCACAAGGAAACTCGGAAATGACCTATTGTTAATAAACTTAAAATGTAATTAACTTTAAAAGCAATCACGGTTTTTGAAACAGCTAGACCGAGGCATAGTCAGCGCCCATTTAAGCAGATTACGTATTTCACTTGCGTCTGGTTACAGCCGACGATCTTTGAATGAGAAACAAAGTTCCATGATCATCTTCTTGATCCTTAGTTACTGAGAATGGAACTGATATATTTTGTTGCGTCCATCCTGGGACATCGTGGCTCTGTCTTAATATTTAATTTATAGTTATGANTAGTTATATCGATGGCAGGAGAAAATTGTGAATAAATGAAATGCCGTGTTGTTCAAATATGGATAAAAGTCGCTTGAGTAAATGCCAGTAAGTGCCAAAATGAACAAATATGTATACCAAATAGATCCCAAACATATCGTAAAATTCGTGCCAACAAATCCGTTGCGTCACAGTCCCTTGCACGAAGCAATCCGACTGAATGCTTTTTGTTGCAAGTATTTGCCCGTTGGACTAACTTAGTTGAACTTCTGCATAAATAGCGCGAGTAATACGACGTCTTTATCTTCTCCTTAGACAAAAAAGTTCCGGCATTTCCCGTCTGTTTCTCTAGGACTAGGACTAGCTAAATACGGTCAGGGACAATGAGTCTTGCTAAGATTAAGAACAGGGGATTAAGAAAAAGGGTTTCACCTAAAGTGCTTATTCTAAAAATCCACCGGCCTGATCTTCATTTCTGCTCTCTTAATGGGGTAAATGCTACCCCATATCATAGTACTATTGTCCGCTCCGTTCCGATAGACACCATTCAGGTCGCTCTGTCTACAGTCATGGTACCACCAGGCTCCTTCCGTTTCCGGGGTTGAGGCACAGTTAACTGCAGATATGTCGTTATCCTGATCTTTTGTAGAGAATTTTTGGCCATTATGAGAAGTCAGCTTATCTCCAGCGGTTCCTAAGCCAAGCATTACAGAAACAAAAGTAAGATTAAGTATTCCCATGTCTCAAAGATGATTTGAGCTTATTATTTACAAAACGAGAAAATAATAAAATGAGCTTTTAAAGTTACAGCGATTAGTATCATAACGTTTTAGATATTTTTATGATTACAAAATGTGCCAAATGTTACTACTACAAAGATAAGATAGTGCTAATAGGCCATTTACGAGTTGCCTCGTGCCTCTGTATCAAAACGAGTCTACGTGCGAAACCATTCATATATCCAAATGTGTTCCTCCTACATGTTTATTTTCATGCAAATCAAACTCATTTTCGTAAGAAAGGTTTTACACGAAGACTCGTTTTGAAACAGAGGCACAAAGAAAGTCGGAAATGACCTATTGATAATAATTCAAAACATAATTAACTTTAAAAGCAATGTTTTTGTAACAGCTCGACTGAGGCATAGTCAGCGTCCATTTAAGCAGATTAAGAATTTCACTTGCGTCTAGTTACTGTCGACGTTCTTTGAGTTAGAAACAAAGTTCCATGATCATCTACTTGATCCTTAGTTACTGAGAATGGAACTGACATATTTTGTTGCGTCCATCCTGGAACATCGTGGCTCTGTCTTAACATTTAGTTTATAGTTATAAATATTCTTTTAGATGGTCCTCCAATTGCCAGAAAATGCATTACCTGGAGATCTCAAGAAAGTAAAGTTATGATGTATCCTCTAGATATTTTTAGCTCATGGCTTGTCGAGCTAAGCGCTGTCTCTTGTTTGCATTTTCGTAGAACTGTTAAGTAATGATTTTACGGAGGATTTTACGGTATGTTGATTTGTCTTAACTTAGATTTATTTTCTCCGGTAAAATAGTTACATGTGATGATGTGATGATAATGATAGTGATAATGTCTTTATTCATTTGATAAAAATACATATCAAAAGTTACAAAGTAGAATTAGATGGAATATTTAATAGGCACTTACAATATCAAAAATTGACTAAAAATGCTAAATTAAAATCGTTAAATACTCAAGAAATTAACAAGTCTACATTGCTAATTTATATCCAAAACTAAGTCTTTTAAGAAAGGTATTTTTAAAACGTTCAGTATGTCTTCTCGGAAATTGAAAAGTGACTGTATTTGAAGAAGAGTCTTGGAGAGGACAAGAATACTGAATTTAAAAGAGACGACCAAGTACTGAGTACCTTTGCTCGTTAAGCCGGCAGAGCTTAATTATACAACTCTCCGGAAATGCCAACAAAAATAAATAAAAATACTTGGGAAACCCAGAGCTGTGATAACAAGCAAAAGGAAATTTTTTGGAGTTTACCAGCTCGAATTCTGCCGTCCCCCTCTCGACCTTAATTTCAACAGAATTCGTTCTAACTGAGATGATAGTTATCAAAGAACGTAAAAATTCAAACCTGTGTAACTTCCCACGCTCAGTTGATATTTCGCTCCCGCATTCGCTACTCCAAACAAATCGTATTCGGCGTAATAGGTGTTCCCATCAAAGTCTTCCAGATCAACACGAAGCTTGTAACTTCCACTGCTAGTCAGACGATGTATGTTGTCAAGCCCGAGCCAAAATTCACCAGTCAGATTTCCAAAGCCACGTTTGTACTGGTTCCAGCCTCGGTAGAAATCCACCGAACCGTCCAGTCTCTTCTGGAATACCAACCACCCTCCTCGGGCTGTTGTTTGGTCACAGAACACTTTAAAGATCCCTGCACCATCTGGGTTGATCGTATAAACACCGTTTGTCTTTTTTCCAGATTTGTAACTGTCAGCACAGACTGTGGAAACTGTGGATCAAAATATGTTAAGGTTCATCGTCGTAAGCTTTACTGTGGTGATGATTTTGGAAAATCCTCTCATCAGTATTTTATGTAATCATATCTGAAACATGACAACCTTATAGAGGTTTGAAAAGAATTTCTTTGTAAATTTCCCTAGTTTATACATGAAATCATTTAAGGTAGGTGGAGGGGGGAAGTCTGGTTGAATTTCTACCCAAGTGGATAAACGTTCCATGTATCCGAAGAAAAAATAGAATATAATATAAATCAATAATAACAAAATGCAATGAAATGAAATTTACTGATAACAGAAGCCATAATCGGGGCTCCTGGAGTAGTATAGGACGCTCATATGGGCAGTAACCAATCAGGAGCCGAGGAAGACAATAGGCTATTGTTTGGAGAACAATGGACGCTATTGTTTTCCAAATCCAAGATGGCGCTATTTATTTTCAGCCAATCAGGAGCCGAATTAAG